TGTAGAAGTGTTCTGCATTTCAAAAACACTCCTTTATCAATAGCAGTGGAGGTATGTAAAAACACAGGTCTCAAGGCCCTGCACTCAGAGTGTCTGAGAGAGGGGGTCTAAGGCATTTCCCGAGAATCTGTCCTGGATTCTCTTAGACATCGAGAGCTTTCTACCCCTGGCAGAAGGTGAGTCCAGCAACACGTGCCTTTCCTGCCTTTTGTCCCTTCTTTTACCTGCAAGCTCAGTGTGCGCAGACTCCGCTCCCCACTCCAAAACAGCTCTCCCCTCACTTTTTGGAAGGGATTTTCCAACTCCTCCTCAGTAAAGCGTAAATGACTAATAAGGCCAGATGTGTTATCCCATCCGAAGCATCTGCTCTTTGTCCAAGAGCAAGGCCTTAAGACAAAAAAACAAAGCTTTAATAATGGACTTTCAGATGTCATTGAGCTAAGTGACAACACCCCGCAAAAAGGGTGACTAAGGAAGCCCTCTCTCTGTACCACCCCCCGAAGCTTACACATTGTAGGCAGCCACTTACTTAATCTAAGTCCCAAAAGAGATGGTATCTTTGTCACCATTTTATTCCCAATACCCGCCATGGTGTCAGGTGTACCATAAGTACTCAATAAATGCATGGTACAGGAGTGTCAAAGATGCTCTGGCAGGAGGAGAAGAGGCCCAGCCTTACCTGTAACAGACCCGAGATGAAAGCCAAGTCCTTCTAAACTCTGCACCAATGACTCATCAGAACCAACCAACACTAAGTGCCTACTATATGCAGACCTCGGGCTGGACCATAGGTCCAAGGCACCTCCTCAAATTGACCTGTCCACTAGTCAACCAACTGAGGTTCCACTCATTTATTCCTGTGTGCATGCAGGTCACCGCTGAACAAGTGCCGTGTGCTAACCTTGACTTTACAAACTGAGATGCACAGCCTTGGCCCTTCAGGAGCTTGCCTGTGGCACCTCCGAAGCCCTAGGCAGTAGCACACCATGGCAGGGAAAGCTCGGGTCTCCTAGGAAAAACTCACGGGCTCTGAGCTGGCGAGTTGGAATGATTCAGCAAAAACCTCCCAAGGATGTGGAGGAACAAAAGACAGAGGAGTTGGTAGGGCTTCTCCTCCCAGACCCTGTCCTCCAGGGCCTGACCACCACACTCACGAGGGCCTGCTTCCTCAGGGCTTCATGGGCTTCAAGGAAAGGAGGCCATGATGCCCATTTCACAGATGAAAAAACTGAGGTTCCGGGGACCACCAGCAACTGCACAAACACCACAGAGGGAAAAAGTTGGACCAGAAGTCTCCTGTCTCCAAGCCCTGTCTTCTCTCTCCCGGGCCCCAAAGCTGCACAGCTGGCCCACAGGATTCACCTCCCTCTACCTCCCCACAATCTTGTTTCAGTCCAGGGTGACTTCACTGTTACCATCACCAACATCATCCCGATGGCTAACGTATGTTGCTTACTTACTCCCCCCAGGCTCAGTACTAAGTACTTTGCAAGCATTAACTCAAAGTTTTCCTAATTCCTTTAGTATCTTCAACTTTACAAAGGGAAAATTGAGCCTCAGAGAAGTGAAGTGACCCAACCGGAAGGATCTAAACCCAAGAGATCTATTTCCATGCCGAACTACCTTAATATACTCAACTGAGGAAATTGAGGCTCAGAGAGGTTAAGGGTCTTGCCTGAAGTCACACAGCAAGGAAGCGCTGGAGTCACAATTGAACCCAGGTTTGGTTTCTCCCACAGTCCCACACTGTAGCCCCTCAGACGGCTGGTTAAGAAGGCAGACGGGGGTGGGGAACAGGAAGGAGAGGCGCCTATTTCTGTGGTACCTCCTTCACAGTCCCAGCACAAGGGGAGCTCCATCCTGGGTGGCAGCTGAATAATTTAAGTTCGTTGGCTCCAGCCTACCACTACTAGGTCCCAGATATCTTTCTATCCCAGGTTACAGCCTCAGCCCTTAACAGAAATCTACCACACTGTTTGCTTCTCATGGTCTTCACATCAACTCCTGATTCATCTACCTTTACGGCCAGCTCCCCACTCAAAGGGGATAAAGAACAGGAGATGGGACTGAATGTCATGGTGGTTTTTAGTAGAAAGTCACAAACTCTCTATGACCCATGGGGGGGGGCGGTAAATAAAGAGTAGACACCACATCCTACAAATAAACGCCCAACGCAGCCACCCCGACAAGAACGCATAGCCTTGGACAGGTGTCCTGAATGTATACGAGCTATAGGAGGAAAGGGGGAGAGGGAGAGCCAGCTGGCGAGAGTCTTCCCAGGCCAGCTTTTAGAATTGCAGAGCCTCCGGGGGCTGCATCTCTCCCACCAGTGAGAAAGGAAATGCCCACATTTGTCTCCACAGCTATGCTTCCCAATCACCAGCACTGGCTAGAGAGACACTGCAGAATGTCCTCCCTCTGTACCAGCTGGGTGGGGTGAGTGGGGGCTGCCTAAGCCAGGAGGAAAGAGATGATGCCTTATCTTCATGACGGCAGATGTGTATGTCGCTCGGCCGTAATTTACTGTGTGGTCTTAGATAAGTTGCTTTCCCTCTCTGGGCCCCCCTGAAGGGATCAGACTAGATCAGAGGTTGCTTGAGGTGCTCAGATGAGCATTAGGGAGGGTCCACGAGTCCCTGGGTATTGTGTGTTTGTGCGGATACGCATCTTTTCAGAGTGGAGGTTCTCAAAGGGGTCCTTGCTGCCACCCCTGGGATAAGTCTCTATAGAGCCTTCAAATACTACTATATCTGTATATCTATGTATCTGAGGCCACGAATAAAGCAGACCCCTCTCCAGCTGAGCACAGGATTCTAGGAACCTAGCAAAGTTCTCACAAGAGACCCCCGTCCTGACTCACCCCAAACAGGCCTCCTCAGCACTCATGATAAATTCCCAAACACAGTACACATCGTTCCTAGAAGCCTGCCTGCACACACACTCCTATCACACAGTCACAGAACCTGAGCTGGAAGGGGACCCGGAGTCACCTAGACCATGTGCCTCATTGCACATACAGGGAAACTGAGGCCCAGAAAGGGGAGGCAGAGCTGGGGCCGGAATCCAGGTCCCCTGGTCCAAGCCCAAGCTTCCTTCCAGAAGCTTCTGTTTCCCTCTCCCTGGTGCACCACAATGCACCATTTCAAATGTGATGGGGGAGGAGGGAGGGCAGCCTTTTGGATCTTAGCCACCCCCAAGGAAGTAAGGCTGAGAAGCAGCAAGGAGATGTTTTCAAAGCACCCACATGTTAACAACCCAGCCCCAGCAACCTCAGCTGGGCTAGCATACATGCTCTGCATGGCTGAACCAGTTGTTAAAACACTGAAATACTCCTGTACCAGATGGTGATGTTGCACTGAGGCCCCTGGGGCTCCCAGATACTCTCCTAGTACCCCCCACCACAATCCAGCAATTAAAGGGTTAACAGCACAATAGAGAACTTCTAAGAGCCCCCACTCCAGGGCCCCAGCCATCCAGTTTGACCAGTGAATGCCAAAGTTCAGTATTTTAAATTTCACCCACGGCCAGATCTCGTGGCTTCTTATCTGAACCAAATTTCTGCATGTCAGTCATTCCTACTTGAGGCTTCCCAGGGAGGAAACTAAGGCAACTTAGTTTGAGAGTCCTCAAGGTCACCCAGTGAGAAAAGCGTGGGATTTTGAGGACCCCGTCTTTGACACTAACCACCAAGCAGCCCACTCCCTCTGCTTCACATGCTCTCCCTGAGCAGGCACATGCCCCGGGATTTCGGCATCCCCACTTGGCTCCGGGACCCGAGAAAATGATTGAGTGGGCCCTGCTTACATTTCAGGCTTGCCAGTCTCTGGGGCTGATGTTTTATTCCTCCCACCTCTAAGAACAAGAGCCTACAGAGAAATCCTTGGGGGTGCAGAAGACTGAAGTGGCCCCTGAGATAATTGTGAAGATGCTAAAAATAAGGACATTCATTTCCAGAAAGGTAGATGTAATCAAAGCAGAAAGCAAAGAGAAATCTCCTTTTGATGGGTCATAGATTAGCAGCAAAGGCGTTTTAAAATTAAATGTGAGTTTTTGGATTCAGTGACAAGAAACCTCGACTTCCCACTCACTAACAGGTTGGTGCAAGCTTATCCCATCAGGATCTCAGATAAAGAAACCAGAACGGGGTTTGGTCTGCCCTGGAACAGATCCAAAGCCGGAAACTGGGGTCCTTCCCCAGAATCCGAACAAACTCTGTTCCCTTCTTTGTCTACTCTGAGACAGGCTCAGGATGGAGTCCCCCAGGCTGGTGTCAGGATGCACCCCCCATACAATCACTTACAGGTTGCACCACCTGTGAAAATAAAACATCGTCTGCTCAGCAGGCTGCTGGCTGCTCCCCTCTGGGCTGCCTGACCACTCATTCCAAGCAAAATGTGGTCCTTTCATGGCTCCCAGATCTCCCATCTCAAGAAGCTTAGAACAGCCAAGCTTGCAAAAATCACTACACTTGAATCACTCAGCTATACCTGGAAGATAGCACAGTCTGAGCCTTGTCCTATGCAAGCCTCACCTGGTGTGCCTAGGTAACCCTCAGCAAGGGTTAACCTTTCAGCCTCAGCTGACCCTCTCTCATCCGGGGCCAAGGTGCCCACCCACAGAGCAGAACATCCAGAGACCCTCCATGCAGGCTGGCCAGCCCATGAAGGGTTAATCCACTCCGAGAACTGCTGGCTACTTTCAACAGCTTCTGCTGTAAGGGAGAGGGTAAATTGGGCAGAAGCCACAAATTTGATCGCATTGCCTAAAACAGGAGCATATTTTACCCCCTCCCTGGGCACTGAGCCGAAATCTCATTTAGCTTTGGGGTGCCGCTTAGGCGATCAAACACTGCGGAATGTGGGCAAATAAATGTGGTCATTCCTCGACATCCCTCCCCCACCCACCTACCCTCTATCCCACCAGCTCATGTACACACCTCATCCCAACTGGGATCTCAATACCCCTAGCCCATTTACACAATTTAGAAGAATAGCACTTACCTCCACACCAGAGGATTGCAGAGGGAATGGGTGAGCCAAATTCTTGCCAACTCCTCCCTTCCCTGCCAGGAAGACACTAACTCCCAATGACTTGGTTTGAAAGCTCAGTGGAGGTGCCTGAAAGAAAATTGTTCGTCTGATTCCCCTACTCTTCCCAAAATAAAATCAAAGCGCCGGCATGCACACAGGCACCAGCGCGCACGCACAAACACACACACACAGCAACTACCCCTAAATCATGCAGGACCAAGACGAAAAGAAATACCACTGCCAGAAGAAGAGAAAACTCAGACCAGTCTGTGGACAAGGCAAAGACAGTGGCTCCCTCAGACCGCCCTCCACATGGATGAAGAAGGTTTTCGCTCCAAGTCCTCTCCCCCCACCCCCTCTTCCTCTCTCTCTCTTTCTCTTTCTCTCTGTCGTCTGTCCGCGTCCGCGTAGGCAACTCCAGGTTGCTGGCAGTAGACGAATCAACTGCTTCCCCAGTGCCCGAATCAGTGGCAGCGGCCACCACTGCTGCAAAACCCCGTGTGAGCAAGGGAGGGGACAGCAGCTTCCCGGCGCAGGGGGAACCAAGCCGGCCTCCCACCCGTGATTTATGTGTGAGGTGCCTGGAGAAAGAGAGGTGGGAGGCCAGGAGGAGAGGTTGGGCGCACCAGAGATCCCCGCTGGTGGAAACAGCAATCAGGAGATTGGCGATCAGCACCGCGGACAGCGCTAAGATGCGGCGGGCGGCGAGGGATGGGCGGGAAGCGAATCTTCAGGCAGCGAAGTTAAGTTATTGGATGGTTTGAGCAGAGAAGGGGGAGTAGTGAAGCGAGGGGGGGTGGGGACGGGACTTCTCGACATCACACAGTGAAGTCAGTGACAGCCTACCTACCACACACTTGTTCTAATATTGTCGCTCACTCTCAGAGCCAGGAGCTGTAAGTTCACAGCCCCTTTCCCACACACACCCCCAGACCTTCACTGTTCCTCTCTGCTGGGAAGAGTCTGACCCCAGTGTGGGAGCCTCCAAGTGGTTTTTACGCCCAAAACTAAGCCCAGCTGACTTGGCCTCACCCGCATTGCTTCAGATTTCTGACCTGTATCTTGAGTGCCTCAGAATTCAGAGCATGAAAGGCTTAATGAATGTAAATTTCTAAGGGGCTTAGTTGAATAAGCATTTGACAGATTTCTGGGAACCAGTTCTGGCCCCCATACAACCTTCAAAAAGTCATTTAATGTCTCCAAGCCCCAACTGTAAAATGAGGATATGACCATCCAATTTCCCTAAACATAAAAAGCAACAATAAAGAACACCAAAGTTGTGGGCTGCTAGGATACCATAACCTCCTACAATTCAAATATTTTGACAGAGGGAGAAAGGAATTGATAGCCAACCCAGGATGGTATGCACCAAGCCTCACCTTTCAGCATGTGGTGTGAGAGGGATGAAGTTGGGAGATTACAGGACGTCTAAATCAGACAATTAAGCTTCAGCCAAAGACCCATCCCCAAAAGATCTGAAGTGAAATCACTGTATGAACAAGAAAATAAAACCATGAAAAGGAGAAATATACAAAGAGACGTTAATTCCCATAGCTTCCAGTGTTCCAGATCTCAAGGCTCCTATTCTTGCTTACTATGGGAAAAGGAAAGGAAATGTTCAAGTAGACCAAGATCTGATTAGACCTGAAAAGTGAAGGAGAACTCTCTCTACCGGGGACCCTCCTCCAAAGTGTCCCACTCACATGGCCCAGGGCGAGCTACTACATTTGTCACTTAATTCTCCCCTGGAAAAGTAGGACTTAAAATGGCAGGGTCTTAGAGATTATTTAGAGCTTCACTTTATAGATGTTCATGGTCATTGTGATGACAATGATGGTGATGATGGCGATGGTTATGGTGGTGGCAGTGGCCATGGCACCTGTCATTTACTGGGAACTGACTATGCCCCAGCCATTCTCCTGCAAACTTTACATGTATCAGCTCCTTCAATCCTCGCCATGACCCTTTGACGAGACTATTATTACTTCCATTTTACAGATGAGGAAACTGAGCCTCAAGAAATTAAGTCCCTTGCAGTAAGTGGCAGACACAGAATTCAAACCCAGGGTTGTAGGATTCCGAAGCCCATGCTTCAGAATGTCTCTCTCTGAGAGTAAAGTTCAAATATGCTCTACAGGTTTTTTTGGCAGGACCTCATTGGATCATTCCTGGGAAGACCCTATGACACAAGTTCAATCCTCTCACTTTACACATGGAGAAAGTGAGGACCAGAGAGTGGCAGTGAGTTGCTCATAGCCAAAGAGCTAGGAAGTGGCAGAGTTGAGTCCGGAACTTGGGCCTTTCAGGTGCCAGGGCCTATGTTCCAGCCCCTAGGACAGTGCCTGGCACATAGTTGGCAATAAACATCTAAAGAGTGATTCAGGGAGATAGGGATTAAAGTCACACAGGATGCTGGTAGTAGAATCAGGACCCAATATTTCCCAGGTCTTTTGGCTCCTAGTCCCAAAGAACATCTACCCCACAGCACAGCTTCTAGGCTTAGGCACATGTTCTAAAAGGGTCTGTCTCTAATTCAGATCTCCCTTAGGAAATCAAAATAGCTACCACCTGCTAAATGCCTAGACACCTACTGTGCGCTATGTTAGGCACTTGACACTTACTATCTCCAGTTTGCACAAGTGCATGAGGTGGGTGCTATTTATGGTCCCATTTTCAGATGAGAAGACTGAGGCACGAGCATGTGAAATGAAACCCCAAAGTTCACAGCTAGATAGTGGCAGAGGCAGAGATGCAATCCCGGGTCTGTCTGACTCCAAGGCCTGTGTTTTTGCCACCCTGTTAGTTTTCTGCCTCAATTTGGGCCCCCTAGAGGACCCTGGTAAAGTGAAAAGGAGGCCTGAGTTGCCCCCCACACACATCCTGGTTTCAACCAGAACAGCTGTGCTTTTAAGTGTTTTGCATACTGGGCATCTGCCCAAGCCTTCATTGAAACAGGGCTTTGCAGCAAAATTTAAAAATGATAATATGGTTGAAACCAAAGCTCTGCACCTTCCCTGATGACCATGCCATCTAGGAACCAGCCCCTCCTTCTCTGGGGATTTTGCCCCACCCTCTGCACTGTCCTGGTCACCATCTCTAAACCCTGGTTCTGTCCTGGGAGCTCCTGGAGAGCTCTTAGTTCAAAGAACAGGCTGCTCCTGTAAGCTCCAACAGCTCTGCAGCAGGGAGATACCTCGAAACCAGACACCTCAAGGCTCAGCCCAGCCAGGCTCTGATCCTCTCAAGGATGGAGCAGTGCTGTGGGATTTCTCAGGGCCCTGGATTCAGCAAGCTGCCCCGTTCTGTCCTTGCTCTGCTGAGGCCAGAGGCAGCCCACTAAGTCTCTTGGTTACCCCCAGGGAGGATGGGCAATGCTGGTGATGGTTATAACTACAACCACAGAAGCCACCCATTATGTTCTGGGTGACTCATTTTGCACGTTATTATTATTTCACCCTCACAACAATCCTATGTGTTCAAATGGTAATAGTTTTATTTCCATTTTACAAATGAGAACACTGAGACTCAAATGCCTAAAGCAACTAGCCCGAGGCCATTTCATTCATAAGTAGTGGAACTAGGATTTGAACTGAGACCCTCTGAGTTTGTAACTATCATGCTATATGGCATCCCTAATTATATCTGTCTCTCCCATTTATTTTTGGTGTTTATTATTCACCCAGTGACATGCTGTATTACTTCAATGCTATTCATGACTTAGCACAGTGAAATTTTACCCATCTTAAAGATGAGGAAATTACGCCCAGAGAGGTCAGGTGACTTGCCCAAGCTAACACAGCTACAAAGAGGGGGAAGCTCAGGGTGTGAATCTCAATAGTTTCAGGCCCCAGTGTGACGTACTGTCTCCCACGGAGATGGGTACAGAGGTAGCACAGAAAGAATGTTCCTATTTCAAATGGGGCAGAATAATGGCCCCCAAAGAGGTCCACGTCCTAATCCTCAGAAGTGGTCAATATATTGCCTTATATGGCAAATGGGACTTTACAGATAAGATGAAGTTAAGGATCTTGAGATGGAGAGATTATCCTGGGTTGGCGCAATGGGTGGGCGCAAGGTAATCACAAGAATCCTCACAAAGGGAAAAGGGAGGAGGAGGGTGAGCAGGGGTGGTGATGTCGGAGTATAGGATTGAGAGACAGAGAGATGAAGATGCTACAGTGCTGGCCCTGATGATGGAGGAAGGGGCCACAAGCCAAGGAACGAGGGTGGCCTCTCCAAGCTGGAAAAGCCAAGGAAACAGATCTTCCCCTAGAGCCTCCAAAAGGAGCATAGCCCTGCCAACACGTTGATTTTAGGACCTCCAGAGCTATAAGATAATAAATCCGTGTTGTGTTAAGCCACTCACTTTGTTGTTCCGTGTTATAGCAGCCAAAGGAAACCAATAGGGTGCGTCTGCCAGGGAACCCACAATGGGAAGCCCCCAAATCAGCCTTAGCAATCTCGACTGAGCTCCCTCTGGGCCAGAGGAACCGGTACTTCCATCATTTTACAGTTGTTCTAAACCATACAGTGTTTGTGTGTGTGTGTGTGTGTGTGTGTGCATGTGCACGTGTGCACACAGACGGAAGCCCTACAACAGAAAGGACTCGAGCTCAAAGCTTTAGCTGGACCACCAGGCTCTGCGGCCGGATGGTACTGCCGGGGCTCGCGCTGCCTCCTCCACTCCCTCCTTCTCTTCGAGAGCCTCCGGGGAAATGCTATCATCAGGAACACAAAAGGGAAGAAATGTCACAGGGCAGCGTTTCAGGAGCACAACTCATCACGGGGGATCAGTCAGAGACAAAACAAGTAAATGGAGCAGAGAGTCAGGAAGAGTAAGAAAAAAAGAGAGAATTGCTGGGTCCCTGAGACCAGCTTAAGTTCCCTGACAGATCGCTTCCCACCAAGGGGCGCCTGGGTGGCTCAGTTGGTTAAGCATCTGCCTTCAGCTCAGGTCATGATCTTGGGGTCCTGGGACTGAGTCCTGCATCCGGCTCCCTGCTCAGCGGGGAGTCTGCTTCTCCCTCTCCCTCTTTCCCACCGCCCCCTCCCCACTCAAGCTCCCTCTGTCTCTCAAATAAATAAATAAAATCTTAAAAAAAAAAAAAAGATCCCTTCCCACTGAGAAAGAGGCAAGTCCTGGGGAGGCCCATTAGCCCCCTTAGGAGAAAATAGGGTAATTACAGATAAGATGCTGCAGGACTTGGCGGGACAAGTTTTTATGACAAGTCAACAAGTATTATTTATTAATCAGTCAGTTTGGTGTTACCAGGCAAGGCGCTGCCAAAGCAAATAAGCCTGGGCTTGCCTTCTGGTGCTCTGGGCTTGATTTTTGGCTCTCCCATTCACCAGCTGTGTGACCTTGGGCATGTCATCTGCACGCTCTGTGCCTCAGTCTCCTCAACTCTAAAATGGAACTACAATACCTTCCCCACCTACCTACCTGTGTGGCCAGGACGTTTCATTGAGCTAACTGATATAAACAAGGGTCCTTTTCCTCCTTGCAGAGTCTAGTTAAGCATCTAGCCCCAAACGACCGGAGGTGCTGGGGAAAGGGCATTGGCAGAGGCAGAGTGACGAAATGGTCAAAAGGCCAGGTTTTAGGGTAAGGCTGCCTAGG